TAAAAATTATTTCTACCAATTAAAAATAAAATTATGTAAAATTGATAAATCTTTTAGATATTTATTTATTTATTTTACTAAATTAATTTTTATTATGTGTTTGGATAATGATCATGTACATTTAATTTTAAAAAATTAATCATGTAATTTTTATTATTTTTTATCAATTTTACATAATTTTATCATTGGTGGATAAAAATAATTTTTAAAAAATTAAAAATATTTTTTTGACATTTATTTTTGTCAAATTAATTTATATTTTATTAAATTGACAATTTTACCCTTGAAATTAAACAATAGTATTTTCAATTATCTTTATTTAGAACAAGATTCAAAATTTAGAGTCAAATGTGTCACAATTAAAAAGTTAATGATCAAAATGACACGAGTCCCAAACTATGAAGACTATTTATGTAATTTACCCATATATATATATATATATATATAATAAATTAAATAAATAAATATGTTTTCCCGTGGAGTGGGCCCCCACCCCTATTGCACTGTAAATGCTTCTCTTTCTCTTCTCTTTTTTCTCTCTCTCTCTCTCTCTTAACTTGTTAGCTGCAGTTAACAATATATGTAGGCTTTCTTAAGTTAAAAATTTACTATCCTATTTAAATCATATCATTTTATTTAAATCATATCATCTTTTTACCATATTATTTTAAACTTAATCCATATTTTATAAAAAAAAATCAAAAAATATACTTATTTAGAACATACCAAACAACCCCTTAATATCTAACCTAAACAATATTCACTAACAATGTGCGTAACTATTCCATTATATGAAGAAAAAAAAAAACAATTTAACTAGCCAAATAGTTAATACCTGACACTAGTGAAAGGGTTAACCCTTCCACTGCAGATGCTCTAAGCAGCCATCAAACAGTAGCTCCACTCATGCAAGAATAGTTCCCTGACAATGAAGGCTCACATCAAAATTTTAAAGTACACAAAATAGGAAAATTATAGTGGTCTCTAGGAGCAAATTTGTTTTAATTTGATTGTTATTCATTAAAACAGTGAATCCAATGATGGAGCTATGCCATGGTCAAAGGTGGCCGTAGCCCCCCAAAGTTCTTCAAAATTATACTATTCCTTATTAATTTTAAAATTATTTTGATATTATACATGAAAAGGCCTTCTATATTCAAGATTAATTTTACAATGTAAATGGGATGATTCCTCTAATTAAATAAAAAAAATATTTCTACAATTCCTATATTTCAAAGAAAAAATTACAAAATAATAAAAAATGAAGAATTTATTTATCAAAGGAGGAAATGTAATCAAATGACAGTCTAATTACATACATTTTTAACACATGTCATTTAAGATGCTCTAAAACCGCCATCAAACAGTAATTGTTTGGTTTGAGTTTAAAATTTTGAGTAATGATTCATCCCCCTTTTCCTCCCACCCCTTTGACCCCCTCTCTCTCTCATTGGTTACTTTTTCTTTTTCTTTTTCTTTTTTTTCCTGCTCCTCCAATCACCCCCTGCCACATGGCAAAGGGGGGTGAGGGGGTGACCCCCAAAAGGAGGTCCCAAACATTATTCTAAAATTTTATAGTACACAAAGATAGGAAAATTATTTGGTTTGAGTTCTTTTGATTAAATTTTTGAAAAATTGGAGTTTTTAGTTTTTGTGTTTTTTTTTTGTTTTTATTGAATATTTTTAATATTTTAAATATTTTTTTTACTTTTTAAATACACCTTACTTAGATGTATAATATTTTTAAAATTTTAAACATTTTTTTTACTTTTTAGATGTACCTTACTTAGAAGTATCTAAAAAGTAACAATTTTGTGAAAAAATATTTTAAAAAATTAATAAATACATAAAAATATAAAAAATATACTGAATTCTCGTATTTCTTTTTATATATTTTTGGTATTTAGTGAATTTTTAAAAGATTTTTTTCACAATTTTTTTACTTTTTAGGTATATCTAAAAGTTAAAAAAATTACTTAAAATATTAAAAAAAATTCAGTAAAAATAAAAAAATACAAAAAATAAGAAAGTAAAAATTTTTTAAAAGTGTTTTTAGAAACGACAATGCTACGTAGCTCAAATTTTGTGGCTCAAAAGCAGCTCAAATTTTGTGGCTCAAAAGCTGTTCAAATGGCCAAAACGACGTCGTTTTGGCCATTTGAACCACTTTTGAACCACTTTTAAGCCACAAAATTTGAGTTACGAGACATTTTCCTTTTCGAAAACTCTAACCAAGCAAAATAACTCTTGGAGCAAATTATAGGTGTTTTAATTTGATTGTTATGGAGTGAAAGAGTGAGTCTAATGGCGGAGCTATGCCATGGCTAAAGGGGCATGACCTCCAAAGTTCTTTAAAATTACACTATTACTTATTAAATTTAAAATTATTTTGATATTATACATGAAAAGACCTATATTCAAGATTAATTTTATAATGTAGATAGGATGATTCCAATATAAAAAAAAAATTAAAAAAATAAATAAGCAATTTACTCTTATATTTCAAAGGGGAAATTACAAGATATAAAAATAATAAATTAAAAAAAAATGGGGAATTTATTTATCAAAAGATGAGATGCAATAAAATGACAGTCTAATTTAAGATATTAACTAGATAATTCAAAAATTGTATGAAATAATTAAATAATTATTCGAAAGCGACTAATACATATTAATTTATTTATTTATTTTTAAAATTGCTTATGTAAGAAATTATTTTCTTATGTGTTTTTTTTTTTGACACTTAGCTTCTCCCTAAGGTTACCTAAGCGTCATGAGTTCAAATCACAAAAACAATTTCTCCACATGAGAATAAGGTTGTGTATATTCGATCTTTTCAAATTCTGTAACATTAAAAACTTTGTACACAAGGACTCTTTTCAACACTTTTTTCGGCCCCCCTTTGAATAAATTTTCTGGCTCCGTCCCTAAGTGAGTCGTCCCACTTTTTACGTCTCTTCTTAAGAGATAATTGAATAAAATATTTAATATAAATTAAGAAAAAGAAAATTTCTAACAACAAGTCATATGAAAGTTACAAGTTCTCAACATAATTTTTCAAGAATTTTGAATTATTGTAAAAAAACAAAAAAAGACATGTCTTAAAATGATTGGTTGATTAAATTTATTTTAATATTATTAATAACACCTAAATTTGTATGTTCCTAAATTAACTCCGTGAAAATTTATATCATATATAGATATTTTGTAATCTTTTAAATTTATGTTCCTATATTAACTCATTTGATTAAATTTATTTTAATATTATTAATATCACCTAAATTTGTATGTTCCAAATTAAATCAATGAAGATTTATACCATATACAAATACTCTTTAATTTTTAAAATTTATATTATCAAATTAACTCCTACATATTTTCAAAGCCTACACAATTGATATTACACAATCATACTAATATTTTAAAGGGGTTTTTTTTAGGGTCCCTGGTAGTATAAAGGATATCTAATATTTTCATAATGTCTAAGGTCCCTTAACATTGATCCAAAGAAATTTCAATCTAGAGAAATTTTTCCCAGAGGAAATCTGGACTGCACAGAGAAAATCTCACATTTCTCTGGACTTTCCAAAGAAATTCACTTCAACCCAAAGAAATTTCCCTCTCTAACTCAAAGAAACTCACTGAAAACCAGATAAATTCTCATCTTCAATCCAGAGAAATTCACTTAACCCAGAGAAATTCTCCCTCTCCAACCCAAACCAGAGAAATTATACCTCTCCAACCCAAACCAAAGAAATTCTTCCTCTTCAATCCAGAGAAATTCCAATTTCTGTGATTGAGATGCTAGAGATGGAGGCAAATTTCTCTGCTTTAACATCACGGGCAACTTTGTATACATCAAGAAGATAAATACAGAGGGGGAAAAATGCAATGGGATTTATACAAATTAAGCATTTCAGGTTCCAGCTCGAAACCAAAGAATTTCTCTGGACCAATCCAGAGAAAATTCAGTTCAAAAGCTAGAAAACTTCTCTTGTTTCAACCCAGAGAAATTCAGCTCAGCAATTAATTCAGTTAACATTAGTCACTCTTACAGTGACACGCAATATTTCATAGCATTCTAATCAAGTGGTTACTAAATGGGTTATTTCTTGGTTTTTATGCAGGAAAAAAATAATGATCGTAGTCCCTGGGGAAACACACTAACCTGTGGCTGTCTCTAAGTTGTAAACGAAAAGTGTGGCAATGAATATGCCATATCACAATACAAATTTGAAGATGATAGTATTTTCTCTTTTTCAGCCAAACCAACCTGTTGCATAAGAAACTTGGAATGGAAAGCAATAAATTGGAAGAAAGTTAAAAACCACACGCAAACAAGGACAGAAAAAATATATATATACATATATATATATAACAGTAGCCAAAAGTACATGATGCTCATACTTCTGCTGCAAGTCGAACAATTTTTACTTTTGAAAACACTAGTGTGGCCGACTGGAACGGGGCCGAGGCGGTGAGCGACGGCGACGGAGTGGAGATTCCAAGAGGAACGAGCCGATGAACAGATAGATTTGGTGCAGCGAATCGCCATTGGCAAGTAAGCTTCGTATCTGAGCTCTAAGACTTGGTTGCCATCGAAGGTGTCGCGGGTGAACTCTGTGTTCAGCTCTTCAATTAGAAATTTACAGAGAAGCAGGTCGGGTTGCGGATTCGGGCTGCTCGGAGGTCTACGACGATGGCGGAGCGGAGGGAGGAGTCGGAGGAGAAGGTGTTGAGGAAGAGGTCGTAGAGGAGGGTGGAGGAGCAGAGAAGTGAGAGAGAGAGAGAGAGAGAGAGAGAGAGAGAGAGAGCAGAATTCTCTTTCCAAACCTCTCCATTGACATAAACCTCCTTCATCTAAATCGGGAACTGATGCCTTGATCTCATCAATCAGAAATTTACAAGCATCCAAAGCTTCAGCACGATGAACAGCAAAGACGGCAATGAAGATGCTAGTGTAGCCGACTGGAATGGGGCCGAGGCGGTGAGCGACGGCAATGGAGTGGAGATTCCAAGAGGAACGAGCCGATGAACAGATGGATTTGGTGCAGCGAATCGCCATTGGCAAGTAAGCTTTGTATCTGAGCTCTAAGACTTGGTTGCCATCGAAGGTGTCGCAGGTGAACTCTGTGTTCAGCTCTTCAATCAGAAATTTACAGAGAAGCAGGTCGGGTCGCGGATTCGGGCGGCTCGGAGGTCTACGACGATGGCGGAGCGGAGGGAGGAGTCGGAGGAGAAGGTGTTGAGGAAGAGGTCGTAGAGGAGGGTGGAGGAGCAGAGAAGAGAGAGAGAGAGAGAGAGAGAGAGAGAGAGAGAGTCAAATTTATCTGATATATGTTTAGGGACCTTAGACATCAAAAAATAATTTTGTGGATCTCTTCCATTACGGAAAATGGGAGAGAGACTCTAGACTAATTTTTCCTATTTTAATATCTTTAATTCTTTTAAAGATAAAAATTATGAACCTTCAAAATGTTTGGTATAATAGAATTTCATTTAATATTTTTAATGTTACATATACTTCTAAAAATAGGGTATTTCAAACCCCCTTCTCGAACGGTGTTGTATCAAAAAAATTTGTAATTATGCACAATTAATTTCTTTGCATATCACATATACTAAAGACAATGGTTTTTTTTTTTTTATTATTGTCATCGTTGTCGTCGTCAGAATAGTGTTCTCTGTAATGATAGCTTGATTGTTTTTTCGTATGTATTTTTTATTTGAACTGTAGAAATATGTATTAAAACTTGAGAAAGCATGATAGGGTTACAACCAGACACATATTTTAGGTCAACCAAATATTTAGGCCAAGTTTGAGAAGACTAAATAAGTACATTTTTTGACTTTTTATGAAATATGAGTTAGATTTGGGTTGGGTTTGAAGTGATGCGTTAGAGAGGTAATGTGACTTAAATAAGATGATGTGACTTAAATAGGATAGTGACTTTTTGACTTTTTAAATTTTTTGAAGGACCAAACTTGGCCTAAGCCTCCGTTTGGGAAGTGGGTTGGCTTTTTGGCTTTTTGACTATTTTAGCCTGGGCTATTTTAGCCTGGTTTGGGAAGGACTTTTTGGCTTTTTGGCTTTTTTTTTTTTTTTTTTTTTTGTTTAGATCAATCTTTCTATCAATCTATATCTATATTAAAGTGACATTTCAATGATGAAGGGTAGGAAAGGTCCAAAACTTCATCCTAAAATTCTTATTTTTTGTTATTTTAAAAATATTAAAAGAAATCTGATTGTCTAACATATCATACTAATTATATAAAATTAATTATAGTTTTGTTAAACCTTTACCATTCTTTCCTAAAACAAAATATTGCTATGATTATGCTATTTTCTTGCAAATAATAATTTTTTCATAATAGAAAAATAAAGCTCCAAGATTTCATCCTAAAATTCTTATTTTTTATTTTAAAAATATTAAAAGAAATGTTATTGACTAATACATCATATCAATTATATAAAATTAATTATAATTTTTTAAAAAATTTAACATTCTTCCCAAAAACAAAAATATTGCTATGGTTATGCCATTCTTCCTACAAAATAATAATTATTGAGTAATGCCACATCTATTTAAAATCTTACTAACAATCCTACTAAAATCATCTATATCCAAATATTATTGGAGGTTTAAATATTATTATTTTTTTGACAAACAATCACATTTGACCATTTATATTTTTAGTAAGATTGTTAATATGTGTAAAATTATTCATAATAGATTTTTTTTTTTTTTTTAAATTTTCCCTTTCTTTCTCTTTTTACAACCTATTATCTTTCCCACTTGAAAACCCTATTCGCCATACATCTTCTCCACGCCATTCCTCACCCTATAAAGGTCAGCTGATGCAACTCATTACTTCTAATATCTGCTTCTAAGATTGTTAAAGGTTAGTTTTTATTTAATTATAAATGTTGCATATGTCTACATTCTTTAAACAATATTTTACATAATTTCTGTCTTTAGTCATTGTTTGATCTTTTTTTTATTTTTTATTTTAGGGTAAATTACAAATACATTTCCTAAGGTTTGCTTAAAATATGAATTGTCTACTATGGTTTGAAAAATTACAAATACCTCCTTGTCAGAATTTTTTATTTAACAGAATTAATTGAAAAAATGAAATTTCTAACTGTTCACCTACACAATAATAAAATTATCTAAATTATTAATTGAAATAAAATTTTGATATTGTTAAAACTGTTAATTAACTTGATGATTTATTAATAAAAGGACAAATTTGTTATGAAATTAGAAACTTTAAGGGACATAATGTAATTTCTAGAACTACAGGGGTAATTTGTAATTGAAAAATGTCTCGTAGCTCAAATTTTGTGACTCAAAAGTGGCTCAAATGGCCAAAACGACGTCATTTTGGCCATTTTTATGTTGTTCTGTACTCAAAACGACGTCGTTTTAGCCATTTGAGCCACTTTTAAGCCACAAAATTTGAGCTACATAGCATTGTCGTTTGTAATTTAAGTAAATCTTAAGGGGTGTGTTTATAATTTACCCTTTATTTTAACTTTCAACAAATTTTTGTATTTTTTGTTTTGTCATATTCTAAGAAGTTACAAACTTATTGGGTGGAATTAAGTTGTTTTATAATTTTTTGTGAGTGTTTGTTTTCTATTTAATTGTTTCTTGGATAGCTATTTGGAGTTCTGCAGATTTTTACCTTGTGTTGGTTGGGCGTCATTTTTTGTTTTAAAATTTTCTCTCCAAACCTTTTGTAATGTTTTGTTGTTATTAATAAAATAGTACTTTCTAATTGTCGATCAAAAAATTCCCCCCCAAAAATTAGCTTAATTCAAAAAAACCAAAAAAAATTCCTTTTCCTTCTTGACTTAATTTTTCAGTTTGGTTTTTTTTTTTCGCAAAATCTGTCCTATTTTTGAATTAAAATTTAGGGTCATCTAAGTTACACAAAATAAATTACTCATTTTTTTTTAAAAGTTTATCAAAAATAAAAAAATTCCCAAATGTAAGTTATAAAAAAGTTTTTTAAAAAACAAGAAAGTTACCAAACAACATGACCTATTTTAACCATTACAAAACTCAAAAATTAAAATTTGCTATAACTTAAAAATTAAAAAAAAAACAAAAACAAAATAACATCACCCAATCCTTTTAATATATTGTATTGTAAATTAGACTTTTTCACTAAGAGTGTTTTTAGAACTTTAACATTTCAAACTCTATGAATATAATAATTTCAAATTTTATTTAATTGTGACCCTTTAAATAATATTATTGATTTCTAAATAGAATGAACACATTTTATGAAATTGTTAGTACTATTTCATTTTATTTCAGTAAATTACCCATATCACCTATGTATTTTAAAGGAAAAAATCATTGATTTTTTAGATGGGAGAAGAGAACTATTGAACTAAATTGTTGATTATTAGATTTCCGAAAAACAAAAGTTAAAAACATATCACTGCTGGAAAACAGACTTTTAGTGGCGTTTAAAAAACGCCGCTATAAGTGTCAAAAACGCCGCTAATTCCTTTTGCGACGCTTAGTACCAAACGCCGAGGACGCGGCCGTCGCTATAGCTTTGTGACGTTTTGAAAACGTCGTGATAATACAAATGTCCTACTAAACACATCACTGATGATATTTAGCGACGTTTTTTAAAAACACCGTCATATCTTTTTTTAAAATACAACCGTTAATATGTAGGGTTTAAGAAGCGTTTGTAGAAACGCCGTTATATCCTTTTTTTTTTTTTAAATTGTGCTAATTTTATTTGATTGAACTAAAAAAATACCTTAATAGCACTAATATAAAATCATAACTCCCATTCAAATAGCTATAATGAAGCACTAATTCACTTTCTCATTCAATAAATATTCAATCACCATTACCCACAAAATTAATATATTCAAAATCCAAAAATCATGTTTTAACATTAAATCACTAACTAACATATATCCAAAAATTATGTTTTAGCATTAACCACAAACTAACATATATTCAAAAATCATGTCTTAGCATTAAAGTTGTAGTCTTCACTGTTCTACATGCCTGCATCAGAACATAAACTGCAATCAGATTCACCAAAATAAACACAAATTGAAGAATTTGTACCCAATACTTATAAAGAGTACTTAAAACTTGAAGAAGCACTAACAAGAAGATTTTATCACATACCAAGAAGCACTAAATACATATAAAGAAAAGGGTATACCTAAAGACAATACAGACACATGAGAATTAGGGGTGCAACTCGGGCGGGCTCAACCCGAGCAACCCGAGCCCAGCCCGAGTTTTTTTAGGGCTTGGGCAACTATATCTTGTAATCTGGACGGGCTTGGGCAGATTTTTGATGCCCGAATTGCAATTCGGGCCGGGCTTGGGCAGAGCCAATGGCCAACCCGAGCAACCCGAACCCGAATTCAATTTAATATAAATATATTATATAAATTATATAATATATAATATATAATATATATATAATTTAATAAATTATATAATATATATAAATTAAGTAAAAGAGTTAGTCTTAATTTTTATTTATTTATTTATTTTTGGTTAGTCTTCTATTAAGTAAAAGAGTTAGTCTTAATTTTTATTTTTTATTTTTTTTTTTGTTAGTTTTCTACCATTAGATTAGCATCTTTTATGTCTACCCTTAGATCTACCTACAGGTTTCGAGGAAGTATGTGAATTGCCGGCCGGTAGGTCGCCGGGTCGAATGGACTGACGCTCAAGGGCAAGAGCTCGGCCTCGGGATCCATCTCATGATCCAGGGGAGTCTTGCCCCATGGAATATCGTCTGCCATCTCAGAGAGAGTGTGAAAATGACCGGGAATGTGAAAACCGGGCGAGAATACGAAAAGTCAACAGAAAGTCAACCCCAAGAGGGCAGAAAATGGCCGGAAAAGCCGGAATATGAGAGAGGCATGAAGATCAAGAGGAACTCAGGGGAAACAAACCCCAAGAGGCGGAAATCAAGAAAGAGACACCGAAACAAAGTTTCGTTCGGTTCAAA